AGAAAAGGTCAGTCAAAAAGTCTTCTAAAATCACTCTTTAGAAAAAAAGGTGTATGAGTCGTGCATTGCACAATCATCATTAAATGTAACTGACTTGACATACGCAAATCTTCTCATCCGTACTTGGTGAGGGTGAATGTGAGGGTGGGCAAAAAATGCCCATCGAGTGAGTAGTAGTGTATTTACAAAGAAAAGAAACTCTCTCTCTCATTTTAACAAAGAAAACCGATCTATTTATATACGGAATATTGCGCAATCATCTTGAGTATTGTGGTACAATAACCATTACCATATTGTGGTGCAATAACTATGGCCATGTAGTTGTGCAATAGCCATGACCGTATCGTTGCGTAATTACCTTGACGGTGTTCTTGCGCGATTACCAATAGGTCATTTCGAAGGATGGAACAGAAAATCATGTGAGAACAAAAACGACGTAATAAAGTGTCCATGCAATAAGGGAACAGTGACGAAAGATATTTACATCAGAGAACGAGAACATTACGTCAGAGAATGAGATTTTCTACGCTTCCTAACAATATTTTGACAAAATTAATAGTATTTTATTTAATTTTGAAGTGTGTGATTTATTGTATGAAATTGTAGTATCTATTAACGTTGACTTAAACTGAAATGGTATTTGTCTAGCCGGTGTGCCTAGGATAATACGTTCATATTGCTTTTGTGTTGTTGTTGTTATTGTTTTCGACTCAAATCTTGTCATTGTTCCAAGAATAGTATTCGATGGTATATTCGAGCCAACTTCAATCGTAGAAGTATTACCCATTGCACAATCACTTCCAATATAAATTCGATTCAAGACGTATTGTCCATTATTTCGATCAATCGTACAATCAAATGCTACATCAAATAGAGTTTTACAATTCGATTTGATAGTCAATAAATTTGATGGAAAAGTTAAAATACGACTAAAATTTCATTATTATTACCGATTTTTGTACCTAAATAACGTAAAATTATAGTATACCACTGATTATCGAAATAAATATGTAATTAAAACTTAATACAATCAATTGTCTAAACCATATTTTATGTAGATAACACCAATCATTTAAGTTATATTTGTCTGATTCAATATTATCAACAACAAATTTTAATAAAAGTACAACGATAAAAAATGACAAATAAGAAAATAATATTAGGTAAAATGGTGAAATAACAATTAAAGTAACCTTTGATGGTGATATCATATTATGAATAAAATAAAATAGATAAAGTTGTATAACATACAAACATAATATAAATATTAGACATAGTAATTGATAGAAACATTGTAAAAATGATAAATTATAATTGTATTTTTTCGTATTTTGCATATCATCGTTATTATTATTATTATTCTCAATATACATTTGATTACCATTAATTGTTATGTTCATTTGACGTTATAAATGAATTTGTTCGATGCCAAGTACGGATGAGAAGATTTGCGTATGTCAAGTCAGTTACATTTAATGATGATTGTGCAATGCACGACTCATACACCTTTTTTTCTAAAGAGTGATTTTAGAAGACTTTTTGACTGACCTTTTCT